TGTATTTTTTTTTTTTTTTTTTTTTTTTTTTTTTGCAAGCTCGAAGGGTGGTATAGCTCCTGCTTCCCTTTACTTCTCTCCAGCGTGACGCCTGCCCAGCAGCTTTGAAAAGGGACTCCTCCACGCCCCTCCAACGTTGTGTGCCCCAGCGCAATGCTCGCGCGGAGGAGCCCCTTTTCAAAGCTGCTGAGCAGCAGGGTGGCGCATGCCGTGTGTAGAGGAGGAGGAGGGGTTCCCAAGTGTCACTTCCTACCCAAGCGGCACAAAAGCAGTACGAACGAATCACAAGACGCATTCGGGAAGGACATAACCAATCATCACTTCAGCCACCACAGGTATGTCGACTTCTACCGCGATGAATCCATGAGCATTGGCATTGTAAATTTTAAAAATATCATCAATGGTAAAAAAAATATTTTCGCCGACTTGCTAGAAGAGCTAAAGAATGTGATAGAGCACATTAACAATATAATCTCGAATGAGGAGATGAATGCCTTTTGCATAAAAGAATTTCCACGGAAGGACAATTACTTGGTGAAGAATTTGCGTAACAGGATTCCTTACTTGGACAACCGTTTGAAGGTGCTTATACTTACCGGGGGTAGTAACAACGACCCGGCCGCTACGACTAGCACCCCCGATTATAACTCTTTTTTGAAGAATGACGAGCAACTTAACGTCGAGCTGTCCAATTCCTTCCGCTACCTTTGTAACACAATCCAGCACCTCCCCCTGATCACCATCAGTAGCATCAACGGCCAATGCTATAACAGTGGCATGGACCTGATGTTATCCTCAGACTTCAAATTTTCAAGTGAGGAGAGTACATTCGGTTTCAACAAAACACATTTAGGTTTATTCCCTTACGGAGGCAGCACGCAAAAGTTATTCAGAACAATCCCACTGAGTTATGCAAAACACCTTTTACTTACAGGAGATATTATAAGTGCGCAAGATGCATTAAGAATAAACCTAATTGATGTATGTATGAACAAAAATGAGGACTATTTTATTAACAACTCTTGTGTTACATTTGAGAAGAGCTTAACGAAAAAAGAAAAAGTCGACATTTTAAAAAAAAGTGTTTTAACTTTTTTTTCCGATATTTTTTCAAATAAATTATTTGAGGACAAAATGGAGGACAGCTGTTTTGTCTTTTCTCTTTTTTTTGCTTTTCAATTTTTATTCATCCCGACCAATGCTCTGCAGAGTGTTAAGATGAGCATCATGGAGGGCATGTCGCTCGGCGAGCCAAACTTGTACTTAGACCACGACAGGGCTGTGTTTGAGCGAAATATCAATGCGCCCCAGAGGGCGGAAATTCTCGCCTACTTGAAGAGAAGAGCGGCTACCCCAACCACGCTGCCGACGTAAGCGGCAGGACTAAACAGGCACGCGGTGTGTATATACATATATTCACCACGATACACGTACGGTCCAATAGAGCATACATGTAATGAACCCCTATACGAGGAGCGATAAAATATTTGTTATCCATGTGGCTCCTTATTATGGTCTGTTCAAAAAAAGACATTACTTGACGTGCTGTGTGTGTGTGTGGCACGTCCCACTTTTTTTTTTTTTTTTTTTTTTTTCATGTTAAAAAAAAAAAGAAAAGGCGTTGTAAAAGTATGAATAAACTCATTTACAACGTTTTTTTTTTTTTTTTCTTTTTTTTTTTTTGCCGCCCCCATT